CCGGTGCTTCCTCTTCTGCCTCTGGTGCCTTTTTCGAGCTGCTAGGGTCTTCCAAGGCCTTACCACTCCTCAATGTCACTGCCACAACTTTCGCATCTTTTGGATTCCTCTCGGTATTAGCCGGTAATGTCCCAGGAATCCTGCCCTGCATATCCGCCAGAGTTTGAGCCATCTGTCCCATCTGCCTCTCCATAGCTAGCATAGAAGATTGTAAATTATTGTTGATGGCTAGCTGTTGAGTGACAAACTGATCCAGGCCCTTCAAATTATTGTCGGTTTTCTGCATGTGAGCCAGAAGCAATTCTTTGAGTTGTGGTTTCTTCTCTAGTTGAGGCGGAGGTTGTTGTTTCTGCATGCCTGGAGGTGGAATGTTGCGAGCACCATTTGGGTTGTTGTTCGCCCAGGAAAAGTTAGGATGCTTCCTCCATTGTGTGTTGTAGGTATTTGAATACATACCACCCTGGCCTTGATTTTTCTGATTGTTGATATAGTGCACATCTTCCACCTGATCAGCCACCAGTGGACATAGATCCCTATGATGAGAACCTTCACATAATTCACAATAAGCAACCTCCTCTTGTCTACCAAGAGCCAACTTAGCCAGCCTTCGTTCGAGTGCATCGAACTTGGAATCCAGCTTAGCATCAATCTTTGCTTCTAAGCTTGCAACTATGTCTATCTCATGCAAGCCTCCTCTCCTTCGAATGCCGGTCTCACTACCCCATTCAGTATCTTCAGAGCATATCTTCTCCACCAGTTCATATGCTTCTGGTGCTTCCATTCTTGTGAAACCATTTCGGGAAGCATTGTTCAGAGCATCTCGAAATTGTCTTCTGATTCCGTTGAAGAAGATGGAGATCACATTCCAATCTTCAAGACCGTGGCTCGGGCATCTCATTAGAAGCTTATAGCGCTCCCATGCCTCGGTCAGACTTTCATCTTCAGCTTGTTTAAAAGTGACTATTTCCTCTTGCCTCTTCATTGCCTTGGCAGGAGGAAAGTACTTGTCCAAAAAGGTCTTCTCAAGCTGACCCCATGTTGTGATGGAACGGGGTGTCAAGTTCTGGAACCAGTGTGATGCATTCCCAAGCAGAGAAAATGAGAACATCCGAAGACGGATGGCATCATCAGACACAGCCGGGCTCTTCATTATGTCACATATGTTTGCAAACCGGCGGAGATGTTCATGAGGATCCTCGGTGCTGGCCCCTGAGAAGGTGTACCCATTCGTGATCATATTGATGAAGGCTGGGGCAATCTCCATGTTTGCATCCCCAGACGGAATGACAACACATGAAGCTCGGGCTCCAGTCCGACGAGCCCTGATCGAACGATCCTGTTCAGCCATGATGACAGGCTCGATGACGCGCGGCGGTGGTGTAGGTGGTGTAGGGATGACAGGTGGTGTCACCTGCCTTCTCGGTTGACGATTCTGAGTTGGGGAAGGCCTAGGAGTTGTAGATGTGGTAGGCTGCTTCCCTAACTTGGCCTGCTTCCTGTTCTGTCGGCAGGTCCTCTTGATCTCGGGATCTAGTGGCAGTAAATTGCCAGTCGTCCTCCTTGGCATGCACGAGGAGGATTAACCTGAAAAATTCACCTGCACACTAGCACCCAGATCAAAATAGTTCACTCACAATAATCAATAAAAATAAGGTATGGCAGTCCCCGGCAACGGCGCCAAAAACTTGATAGGTCAAAAGCGTATGCCTTAATCCTGTCTTGTAGTAAACCGGAAAGTCCGGGTATCGTCTCTCAGGGACTGGTACAACCTTATATTCTATCAATTCTATGGAGCAAACTATAGGTGAAAATGATTAAGAGATGAAATTATTAACTAAAAGCAAAATTAACTAAACAAGCAAATTAAAGTGTCGGGTTTAACTCAATGGGAGAAAGCTCTGGGAGAAACACCGGGATTCACTACCTATCCTATCCAGATTAATACACATATACCAATTTAATCCATACCTCTACAGCCAGGATATCACGAATGTGCTAGCTATCCCTGTCGGGCATTACTACGTACTAAACAATTAAATCAAATCCTACTGTCGTAGCTCAATGACCTAATTATTTAGCCTGAAGATCGATATCCCATTTAAGACCGCATAGTACCTTATTTAATCCACTGTCACTTCGATAAGTTACTATGTCACATGAAACAGGTTCAGTTAATAGGGTTTCACTGTCGCTAATAACCTAATTAACTACAAATCATTGTATTGGTGGCCAGTCAACACAAAGCATTAAGAAATTTCATGCAATAGAGATTGGAAGAAAAGAATCATAAATCAATCCATCAAATCAAGAAATAGCTACATCCTATGGTGTTTCCCCCAGAAATTGGGGTTTAGTTCATGACGAAATTAAGATAAATCGATAAGGTTTTGTTCATCATGTTCTAAATCAACAAATAACAACTAATTCGGTTCAGAAAATCCAACCAACTAATCGCTCTCATTGAACTCAGCTCAGGCAGCCTTGGAAATCTCAATCGCCAATTGCCAATCGATGCTTTTACAAGCTCCCTCCGCTACACTGCTTTTCTCGCCAATGAATTCGCTTTCCGCCCGGTAACAATTCCCTTCAGCCGCCTTTTCTCCCTCCCAAATTAATTCCGTCCTCCCCAAAATAAAGTGCCCGAGACTATTCTTTTCTCCCTGGGCTAATTCTGTCTCTCAATTCCCTTTTGTCCTACCTGGGCCCAGCCGCCTTCTAGCTACTTTCAGCCCAACAAATTAATTCAGCTCCTTCCAATAAATCACAGCCCAAAAGAATAGCCACCCTCAAAACCAATCCGCCTCCTCTCTTTGTCTCCCTCCAATTCCTCTGGGCCTTGAGCCCAAGGGAGAAGTCCACAAGTAATTCGAGCCCGATTTATTGCTTGTGCACTCGCTCCTTTTTCGTGCTTTCTCCACCTGTATCATATCAAACTCATGGCACTAGGCAGTAATGGTTTTTCAACCATTCTCGGGTTAGCGAGCCCTAAAATAGCACCAATTGGCTAAAACATACAATGAGATAATCACATAAAGTCCAAAAATTTAATATGTTAAAGCCGATTATCAATGGCTTCCAGTTGGTCCCTTGTGGAAGTAGCTTAGAATAGCCGTCATTTCCTTCTCCGGGAGACCGGGACACACCTCAGAATGACCCCATCATCCCAAATCCGAAACAGGTGGGGGTCATCCCAGAAGTAGTGTCGAAGTTTAGAGAAGAATTTCTTTTAATCATTTGTATTCATCCCCTTAAGAAGTTTCCTTCCAACTAAGTAATTGGCAAAGTCGGCAAACCAAGGTGTGGCACTCTCAGCAGTGGCAAGCGCGAACAACCGTTCATCGGGGAAAATGTCATTTATCTCTCTATAGGAGGTGCTCCCTCCCGGTCCTTCAAGTCGCGAGAGATGATCCACCGCAAGATTTTCGGCTCCTTTCTTGTCTTTGATCTCCACCAGTGGCGGAGCCACTCATTAGGTTGGGGGGTGCTTGCACCCTCCTTGGCTTGGAGGAACAGCAAAAATATACGAAGGGAAAAGTAATTTTGGGGAATTACCCTTGACCGACTAATACTAAACAATCTTCCTTACAATCTTCACTTGATGAGTTTCTAATAAATCTTACGATTCTTTATATAAAATAACAAGTTAGTAAAATTAAACCTACAACTATTATTGTTCCCATAAGAAGTTCCCAACGGTTGTTTTTCTCATGTCGATACTAGTACGATTCATACCAATTACCCCAAATCTTATGATATTTCTCGGTCATAAGTTGAATTTATGTATTATTTTACCTACCATTTGATGGCAGATTTAAAATTACAAAGGGTTGACGAGTTAGAAAAAAGGTGAAAACAAATAAGCACAAACCGTATCTATCTAGTTATTTAGTTCTCAAGTTGACAATTATCTGTATGTTGCAACTATAAGTGTGGGAATATAATTTTCACCCATGAATATACAAAAATTATATTCAAAATCGGATAAACGATGAGTTGGTGACATATATTGAACAAGAGTTGTGTGCTAGTTTGCACAAGGAATATGTTCTACAATGTTTTTAGAATATGAAATCTCTTCGTTGTTCATTATAAGTGGTGCGAGTCGAACTATTATTATGTAATTGTCAAAATATTGAGTATTTTGCTGGCGATTTTTTATTTCGTTTAATGTTGACTTTTCTATTATATATAGTTGATTTTTTACGATATGAATAAACACCCCCTTGACCAATTTTCTGGCTCCGCCACTGATCTCCACATCAAACTCTTGGAGGAGTAGGATCCATCGGATTATGAGGGGCTTAGCATCGGCCTTGGTCATCAAGAAGCGAATGGATGAGTGGTCAGTGTAGACAATAACCTTTGAAAGCACAAGGTAAGACCTGAACATGTAAAAAGAAAAGATTACTGCCAACAACTCTTTTTCGATGATTGTGTAATTCTCCGGAGCGTCATTCAGAGTCTTGGAAGCATAGAAAATGGGATGAAAATGCCTACCCCTCCTTTGTCCTAACATGGCTCCCACTGCATAGTCACTAGCATCACACATAAGATCGAAAGGAAGGCTCCAATTCGGCGAGACTATTATGGGATCACTCGTGAGCTTCGCGTTGAGGATGTTAAATGCTAGAAAACATTCCTTTGTGAAAAGGAAGGGGGCATCCTTTTCCAAAATCTTTGTCAGTGGTAATGCAATCTTTGAGAAGTTCTCAATGAAGCGTTAGTAAAATCACGCATGCCCAAGAAAACTCCCGATGCCCTTGACCGTTGTTGGTGGAGGAGGCTTGCTTATTGTTTCAACCTTAGCTCGATCCACTTTGATTTCCCTCTTTGAAATTTTTTTCCCCAACACAATTCCCTCTCTCACCATGAAATGTGACTTCTCCCAACTCAAAGCCAAATTCGTTTCTTTGCAACATTCAAGGACCTTCTCCAGGTTGCCAAGACTGTGAGAGAATGAATCTTCGAATACCGAGAAGTCGTCCATGAAAACTTACATTATCTCCCCCACGATTTTATCGAAGATGGCCACCATGCATCTCTGGAACATGGTTGGGGCGTTGCATAATCCAAACGGAATGAGCCTATAAGCAAATGTCCCAAAAGGGCAGGTGAACGTAGTCTTGGCTTGATCTTCTGGGGCGATCGGGATCTGGAAGTAACCCGACATCCCATCCAGGAAATAGTAATAATCATGCCCAGCGAGCCTCTCCAAAATCTGATTGATGAAGGGTAAAGGGAAATGATCTTTGCGAGTGGCATCATTCAATCACTGGTAGTCAATGCACACCCGCCACCCGGTCACCGTTCTTGTTGGTATAAGCTCTTCCTTTTCATTGGCTACCACCGTCATCCCTCCCTTCTTGGGTACCAACTGTGTTGGGCTCACCCACTGACTGTCCGAGATGGGTTAGATGATGTCGACATCCAAGAGCTTGATGACTTCTGCCTTCACTACCTCCTCTAGGTTGGGATTCACACGCCTTTGTGGTTGACGCACCGGATTGGAACCTTCCTCCAAGAGGATCTTGTGCGAGCAAAAGGTTGGTATGATACCTGGGATATTTGTGATCTTCCATGCGATTGCCTTCTCGTGACGACGCAAGACCTCAATCAACTCAGTATTCTTCTCTGGTGTAAGATTGGAGTTGATGATGACTAGGAGTTTGCCATCATCCATTAGGAAGGCATACTCAAGATGGGGAGGCAGAGGCTTCAACTCTAACTCGGGTGGTTTCTCCAAGGAGGTAGGGATTTTGGGCATTGCGGGCAGGGTTTCCACCGCTGGATCCTATAGAAGTTGGTCTTCTTCCTCCGGATATTCGGCAATGTTCGTCCCTACTAAAAACACTCTTCAGAAGGATCAGAAGGGTAGGCACCCGCGGATGCGAGTGCATCCATGAAACCAAAAACTTCATCACAATAATCAAAATCATCATGATGGTGAGAATACTTCATGCTATCGTTAATGGAGAAGGTAACCTCTTCCTCCCCTGCCCTAAGCACTAACTTTCCGCCATGCACATCAATCAAGGACTTGGTGGTAGCTAAGAAAGGTCTACCCAGGATTAGGGGGACATCGAAGTTGTCATCAATGTCCAGAATGACAAAATCGACCAGGTAAACGAGAGACCCTACTTTGATAAGTAAGTCCTCAACAACACCCTTAGGCTGCACGATATACCTAACCGCCAACTGAATATTCATCCTGGTAGTTTTAGGTTCATCTAGGTCTAGCTTTTGAAATAACTTATAAGTCATCACATTTATACTTGCTCCTAGGTCCGCCAAGGATTTTCCTATGTACATGTTGCCAATAAAACAAGTAATAGTGAAACTCTCTGGATCTTTGCGCTTTGTGGGCATGTGGTTCTGCAGGATGTCCGAGCACTCTTCATTCAACGTCACTGTAGCCATCCCCTCCAGCTTCCTCTTGTTGGTGGGGAGGTCCTTCAAGTACTTTGTGTACTTGGGCGTCTAGGTGAGGGCCTCCTCGAAAGGGATGTTGAGGTGTAACTGGTTCATCAATTCCATGAAGTGGGCAAACTCTGCTGCCATGCGGTCATTGCGGAGTCAAGAAGGATAGTGAATAGCTCGAGTTGCCTTTTCTCTCTTCTGCTCTGGTGGAGGAATCGAATCGTCCTTCTCCCTTCCGTTTGCGCTCATGCCCCCTTGTTGTTCGGGGAAACTACCATCTCCTTCTTGCTTTTCTGTCACAGGCGGCTTCTTCTTCGGAGGTATCTCCTTCGCTTCTCTCCCACTTCGAAGAGTAACCGCTTTTACTCCCGCTTCATCGAATTGCTTCCGGGACAGAGCGGCCGGCGAGATAATCCCCATACTTGTGTTCAAGGTTGTCAAGAGTGATTGGTGACTTTGCAAATCCGCCTCTATGGTTGTGAATTTCTCAGTCACCTTCCCTGTGAACCTCTCAATTTTTTCAAACTTCTTAGAGCTGGAGTCGGCAAAGTTGGTCATTAACTCTTCCAAACAAGACATCCGGTCGGTGTGCACAGGGGAGATAGAGTTCAACTGCTCGTAATATGTCGGTTCCTCATTCATCACTTGGCACTCGGCTTCCTCGTACCCCGAGCTTGCACCCCAATCATATGGCACTAACTGCTCCTTCCCTTGCTTCTTACTCCTCTTTCAGTGGTTCTCTTACCACTCCTTGTCAAGCCCCAACCATATCCTTTAAGATCCATATCTTCAAGCAATTTGGTGACTTGAGGCGGGGTCATGCTCATTAACCTCCCTTGGCAAAGAGAGTCGATAAGGATCTTGTCATCTAGAATGAGATCACCATAGAAAGTTTCTATCCGAAATTGCTCTTCGAACCCATGGTGAGGGCATTGGAGGAAATAGTCCGAGAACCTTTCCCATGCATCCCTCAACGTCTCATCCTGCTCTTGCTCAAAGTGAGTGATCTTCTTCCTCCACTCGGCCGTCTTGGAAGGAGGACAATATCGGGTCATAAATTTGTTGAGCAAATCGTCCCAAGAGGTAATGGACCGAGTCGGTTAGTTGTTGAGCTGTAAAATCCCATTTCGGCTAAACTCGTATTACGGTCGTTAGAAAATTTCACGATTTAAAATCGAGTGTTTTGATAGTATTTCGACGAAAATCGGATTATCGGTCGATCGGATAAGTATACGCATTAATTATATTGCATTGATTTTTTGCCTATATATGGACGAATCATAACCGTCGATTATTGTTTCTAATTAAATTGATCTTGGGGTATAAGATTTAGAGAATTGAGACCTAGATGTTGATCTTTAAGGGTTAGAGTATAGTATCATGTCCGAAAGATTAGTCAATTCAAGTTCTAGATAGCGTTTTCTTACTCAAGGTATGCACCCCAGATTTCACCCTGAGTACCGCAGAACTCCCCATATATATATTAAAAAGGAAAGTGGTGGGGAGCTTATATTTCCCCCACCGGTCCATTTACCTTTCCCCATCATCATTTTCCATTTCCACTACCGATAATAGAGCAGCGCGCGAAGAGTTCAGGGGAGCGACTGGAGAAAAACTCCAAAGCTCAATTCTTGAGCTACAGTGATCCAAAAATCCCGTAAGTAATGCCTAATCCATCCATTCATTGTAATTTATCGATTTAGAGCTTTAAAACGAGTTTTTGGTTCAGGAATTTCTTGAATTCCAAATAAGCCAAATTAGGGTTTCGGAGTATCCAGAAGCCGGATTGAGGCCAGATTTCATATACGAGCTTCCTGCAGCGCGGTAATCAATCCTCTGGTACTAGTCCATGAATTTTGGCTATTATTTAGCTCAAGCCGAGATCGCTGAATTTAGCTTCGACCAGGGTTTGATGTGTTTTTATCGAGAATTTGATCCAGAGCTTAGTACTAACATTGACGGGGATACTGCAGGGGATATTAGGACAATCTCGGATTTTGATTCTGAGTTTGTTTGAGAAAAGGGAAGTTTAGTTCGGGAGGCTAAAACCGGTGTTTGAACGACCAGAACTGGTGAGGGATTAGCACAGCATACCGGGTTTGTCGTATCACGATAATTATATTGATGCTTAGAATTGACCTAGGTGAACTAGAATGGCATGATTAGGGGTATGAACTTTTGTGTTATATGTTGAACCCTGGACTGCTGTATGGCATTATTGACTTGCCCTAATCGATATGGACCTTGTTTATGCTGATGATTGCATACATGTTGCCATTTGTGGCTTAATTGTTGATATGACTTCATGGTTGTTCGATCATGTGTTTTGACATGATGTGATATTATGGTAGTATTTGGATTCACAAGTGGGGGAAATAAACTTCCCAGGGTAATATTATGATGTTTTAAGGAGGATGACTTGCACGAGGGTTTATCTCGAGGAAGTGCAACTATACGACTCATGGTTTACCTATGTTGAGCCAATTATGGTCAGATCAAGTACATGTGCAAGTAACGAATTATGATTAAGAAAGATGAGATATGAATCGTGTATAAGGATACCAAATATGAGTGTTGTGGTCTCACGGTCAACTACATAGTAATTAGGGCTCCCTATGCTATTACTCTATTATGATATGTATGATAGCCACACCTCTCATGTGGTGGTGACTGAAGATTTCTTACGAGATATGACCACATCCAGAGCGGTGTCGGGGTATGACTACACCCATAGTGGTGTGGGGCATGTATGACCACATCCGACGGGATGTTGGGGTATGTATGACTACATTCGACGGGATGTGGGGTATGTTTCCCGGGAGATTTATTAGCATGGGAGTAGCCAGGTGCCTAAGATTAAAACATGATAAGATGCATATGCATAAGCCAAGGTGGTGTCTTTTGCCCATTGGAATATGAGGATGGCTGAGGTCTGATCCTAGTGTTTAGGCTTGATTGCTAGATGTATGATAGGGGTATGCTTTGTTATGAACTCACGATGCAATGATTGTCTCACTCAGCCATGAGCTGACCCTCTTTTATCCTTTTGCTCTGCTTATGCCATGTGTAAGCAGATCATCATCCTCAGTAGTAGATAGGTGTATAGGTGGGTGATGAGCTAGAGTTGAAGGCAAGATGAGGTATGGTCTTCAACTATTATGTGCTTTGACTACTACTCGGGATTTTGGCTAGTGATCCACACCTTTTTGTAAAAATGTTTTGAGAACGTTTTTCATGTGCATACTAGCTTCTGATGTAGTGTCAGATATCCACAGGTGTCGAAAGTTGATGATATGTGTATATTTGTGTGGTTGTGTAAGTTATGACGACTATGACATGTATACGTATGGTATGTAGTTGTGGAGTATGAAAACTGTGACTATGGATATGAAAGTTAATGTATATGGTTGTGAGTATATATGTATGTCTATGAATGCATATATTCATATAAATTATTTTGCAGGATTTAGTTACAAGAACCGTTAGCCCATTACGCGAGTAATTCATGTCGAAATTCTATTTGGGTAAATTTGGGAAATTAATGTAACACCAGTTTTAAATTCCCCTGCAGTTGTATGAACATTATGATTAAGCAAAGCATACATGATAGGGTGTTAAATGAGCCATCATAGCCCCTTCCCCCACAAGAGAGTAGGGGAATAACCTCAAGCGTAATGCCTCCGCGGAGACACCATTTATCTTCAAACTTCCCGCTAGCTCAAGAAACCTTTGATTTCAAAGTTGTTGGCGGCCACGGGTGGATGTAAGATGGGAAATTGGATATCCACCGCCCGTGGAGCCATGTAATAGCCCACAATCCTTGGCTCTTCCTCGGTTCCCGCTTCCATATTTGCATTCGGGGATGGATTGGCGCCTTGAGGTTGATTTGCCGCCATCTCAACTTCAAATTCTCCTTCAATTCCTTCAAATACGGGACCAACTTGTTATCCCCTCTCTTTACTTCTCCTTCTTGCTTCCACTAGCTCCCTCTCCCGAGCTAAAAGTCGGAGAGTCAAATTGATGTCTTTGTCCTGTGGTATTAAAGGTATCAGATTGCTACGGGCCATGCATCACCCTACACACACTTAAAGAACACAACATGTCTAGCCTAAGCAACACTTCACAACTTAACAAAACAGAAATTAAAAGCTAGATTAACACCAAACAAACTTTGCACGATAACGGACCACTGTTCCCCGACAACGGTGCCAAAAACTTGACTCGCTCTGACTATCACAATAAATTCTCACCTAAGGTCCAAGTATAAACCTTAGATGGGTGCAATATATGACAAGTATGTTTAAATATCGACCCAGGCCGAATCATGTACCACTACTTCAATTGTTTGAAACATTATCTACCGAATTGGTTTTGGTGAAAACAAAGGTCTAAAGCTAAATTACTTTGCAAAGGTAAAATGAATTTGACACTAATTGAGAAGGCTTCACCCGAGTGTTGCTCCCCCTAGCTAACAATTATGACTTGAAGAATCGAATGACCGTGTGAGGTTAGGGGGTTATAAACCGCAGGGAAGTCTAACAATTAGCCAAAGCTACCCTCTTAGTCTCTATGTTGAGGAAATGGGATGCGGTCCAGTCCACTAATGCGACCCTATGGCTCGCCGGGTGTGCATAGTAAAGCGGCAGTCCTGGTGAAAATTTCAGCGCAAAGTCTCATGCGTTTCTTTCTTAGCATGGACCTTCTTGAGAAACAGAAGAGAACAACTATGCATGTTATTAACTTGATATTTCACTTAAGCTCTATGTGTTGGCTTTTCCAAATGATGAGCCACATGGAAGTGCTACAGTTCGTAGGGAGAGAAGCCTTGCTTTCGGCCTGTTGATGATTATCGGAACAAAAGCAACAGCGGGCCGACAGTTGGGGGAACTGCATCGACAAATTGGGAAATTGCCGTTTCTATAGGTTTTAAGAATTTGAGATGCGACATGTTGGTGAACGGCAGCAGCTGAAATTTGGCTGGTGGGGGAAGTTAGGGGTTATGGTGGGTTTGAGGATTTGAAATTGAAAATAGGGGTATACCAGTCAATGTAATATAGTTTAGGGCGAAAAAATTTAAATTTTAGGACGACGAATAGCGATTTAACTATGAAATAGTGTTTTAGAATTTGTTCTTTTAATAGTTTAATTCATAATAATAACACAAAAACTCCTTCAAGTTTTGGTTAATTAAAAAAAAACACCTCTTGTGATGCGACTCTATGAAAAATAGTGATTTTTTTACTTAATTGTTTTTAAAGAGTTAATTAATAGTTTAATTTAATTAGAAGTTTCCTCTAGAGTCTAGAGTTTACCAGTACTACACATCCTTTCACCCGCTAAAAGAACAGATAAACAGAGTGTGGACAAGTACAACACTGCAAAAAATGCATGCATTGGCTTCTAACTTTCGAAGCCCATCTTCCTCTTTTGAACCTCTGTCGGCAGCTTCACATCGACGGCCAATCGCACAGCTTGAAGAAACCTAACAACATACCAAGTCATGTCGATCTGCCACCATTTCAGGCCATGCCTGGCCGAGTACTCAAAAGCATGATGATTGTTGTGCCAACCCTCCCCAAATGCTAGCACTGCAACCCACCTGCATTGAGCCCCACCAAAACTTTGCTTTTAAGTTTAAGCATCAGGAGAAGAGACAGAGTTCTAAAGAGTTTACCCTAGTTAAGAAAAAATGTCACTGGACAGAAGAAAAATTGGTGTATAGCAATTACCAGTTGTTCCTCGACAAGTCACCAGTCTTCCAGTCCTGGCTTCCCCAGACATGGCAAGCTGAGTTTACCAGCCATGTGATGTGGTATACCCAAACTATCCTCACGCCCTAATCATGGTTAAGTAGGAAAGGAAACAGGAAAAAGGGTTTTTAATTAACTTCAAGAAATGATTTGATTAATCATGGAGATTGGAGAGGGTCTCTCTTAAACTTAATTAGCTCATCAGAAGTCAGAGAGCATATAATCATGAAGTGGCTCCCACAGTCCCCACTCACTGCCCAGTTCAAATCTCTTATAAACCACTAACTTCCAAACAACTTGCGATCAGGTAATGTTCACATGTCAGATATGAGTTCTTCCAGCACAAAAGTCTGGTTCTGCTCACACAGCCACAAGAATTCAAAGGAAAAGGATAAAGCCACATATCCCTCCTACTCAGGTCCTACAGAAGTCTTAACTTCTGGTTTTTAATGTAACAGGCTGCCACATTGAATGCCACTCGGGTGATTTCTGAAAACAATGGCCAGAAAACAAATTACCAACTCAAATTTCTGAATTTCAAATGGCTGCTTGCTTCCTCTTTCCTTCTAGCCAACAACTCATTTTTGGGTCTTACCATTTAGCTAACAAATTGAAGTGTTTGGCCAATGTGGGTAATGATCTTACTATACGGAAAGGTTGTGTCATTTCCTACCCAATGAGACTATTGGTGGATTGACTAATCTCAAAACCTGAAAAATAGCAGAAAGCCAAAGTATGTCCAGCAAAATCAAAGAAAGAGCAACTCTTACCATTCCCCAGACCAGAAAAGGGAAACCACCAGCTGCATAGAGCAAGGCAGCAAGAGCAATTGGATGCAAAACATAAGTAGCTTTCACCAACTGATAAAAGGATTGACTTTCCAAATCCCCAACATTGTTAGTTCCTCCACACTGCATTTGTCACACCACAACATCAATAATTCTGAACCAATAGCCTGACCTGAGACTGAATCTGTAGGGGAAAGTGGAGTAACAAAACTGTACCCTTTCTGCAACAGAGTTGGTGTCAAAGAGCCAACTCATATGACTGAACCAGAACCCTTCAAGTGGACTATGTGGGTCTCTCTCTGAATCGCAGAATTGATGGTGGTATCTATGCGTGCTCACCCAATCTATCGGATTCCCCTGCTCTCAAACCCCTTCAAAATCAACTCTCTTTACATGCTATTGAAGCAGTAAGATTATAAGTTTCTTTGGTTTTTCCAATGTTTCAGAGGTTACGTCACCTGAAGGGCGTGCACGCCACAGTAAGCGAATAAGTACTCGAGCCACTTGGGGAGCCTGAAGCTTCGATGGGAGAGGTTTCTGTGGAAGGAGAGAGTGATACCGAAGAGTCCGGTGATAATGTAGAGCGAAACGGCGACGTAGAAGGCCGGCCAGCTGAAACAGAAGGGAGCCGGGAGAGCAAGCAAATGCATAGCTACGACGACGACCGCCGTCGATATATCCAGCGAATTCCATTTCCGGTCTCCGAACAATTTCCTCTCCCTCGTCACCACCACGTCCGACAACAGAATTCTTCTCCTGTCCCCCCTCCCGCCAAAATCCCCAACCTCCCCACCGCCGGCGACGTCGGAATTGGCCGATGCAGATAATAATCTGGCGGCAGGATTCTTGTGGGAAGAAAACCGTACGACGGTAGAGGTAAAGTTTCGAGCTTGAGAAATGGGTTTTACAATTCGGCTGAAATTGAGGGTTTTGGGAAATGGGTTATGCCCAATGTCGCAGGGGGAGGCGGGTTTCGATTTTGTTGGGGACGGGGACGCCATTAATGCCATTTTCGGAGCTCTTTCCCCCGGATAAACGATGATAACGTTAGAAAGAACAACAAGAAGAGACTATACAGACTGCTAATCTGCTATAGAGAGCTACAGGGTACGAATGGTTTGGATTTGGCGGTGGGATTTGGATTTTGGCAGAGTATGTGGAAGACGATAGGTTGACAACAACGACCAAATCTTGTGCTTGGTGTTGGCTTTGCTTTGATTCCCCATTATCCTCTCGAAAGGAATGGCAGGCAGCCATTGGGGTAATTCCAGCGCCCTTTAACTCTTTTGAGCTTTCTCTGTCCGTCACTTCAGTATCAAGCAAGTCCGATTCACTTGTGAAATTGGAGTGCTAATGCGGGCAAGGCAAGTAAAAACTAGAAAAAAGTCGCAAGTTGTCTCTCAAATTGAGATATGTAATCTGGCAGGAAGCCATAAAGGTATGTTTAATAAATTACATCTCCTAATGATCAATCATCTACGCATTGGCAAAATTTCACGTCTTTGATTTTGGGTCTATAGATACAAAGAAGGTGGTCCTCAGGGGGGCATTTCAGTTCCGCTACAATTGCAGGATTTTTGCAATCTTCATCTTTTTGGCAGCGCAAATCCACGCCTTCTGTGCGGATTGGCGAGGCAGAGGAGATTGTCAAACCTGCAGAACCAAAATAAATAAATAAATAAATAAATAAATAAATAATGACCATTTGTTAGTAACACCGTGCACTGAACAACTGTTAAATTGAGTGTTAATCAATCCAAATGCAAAAAAAAATCACTGGGATAGTTAGTTCTCGAGGCCCAGGAAAGTTTTGAACATATGCATCGCCGTGTCGGAGTACAAAATACTATAAAATGCATATGCATATGTATATGTATGATAGCAAGGGAATGTTTATACCTAAGATGAATAGAAGCAAAAATACTCTGATAGAGGCTGCTGCTGAAATCATGTTGAGACGTTTTTCTGTTTCTTGCTGAGTTGGTGTCGATTTGGTTTCTTCTAAGTTTGGTCTAGTTGTCAATAGAGAGATTGAGCAACTTGATTGCAAAATATTGAGCCCTTTATCTCCTATTTATAATGAGGTGAAGTGAAAGAGAAAATGGGGTTTTCAAACGGTCAAGACAAGAAAAGGGAAGTATAATTTGTAAGAATATTATCTCATTAAAGAAAGTTTTAATATAAGAGGAAATAATTACCAATAGAGGGATTGATTGTGTATATGGTTAAAAAAATGAGGATAGATAATAAATAAAATAGTCAAAACGCCAAGAGAAAAAAAAAACACTGAATTGGTAAATCTTCTGTATTTAATGGGGAAATCGCCTTACCTACTACAAGTTAACTCATTGATTAATTTTATAACGGTTCATACTAAATTTGTTTTAGGTATATATGGAATGCAAATAAACATATTGAGGTATATAAGTATTTTTTGCACAATAAATATTGGTCTCTTTAAATATTGTGGTCAAAGATACTTTGCATCATCATCCTTACTTCCTTTGCTCTGCTCAAAATACAGTGCATAGGTTATGCAACTATCAGTAATTAAATCTGAGCTCTTTATTCAAAAAATCGAGCTCTAAGGGTGGAGAATTAAAGACATTTTTATTTTCCTTTGTTTTCTTAATCAGATATCATTTTTTTTTTTTGCACAAATAAAACGAGTTCGTTGTGCTCTACAAAATGAGATCAATTTTCAATATATTTTGAGAAAAAAGAAATTTTCTTGCCTCTCGCTACCAACTACATACCATATGATATCCTCTTCGTTTTTAAGTCGTTTTTGAAAATGTTTACACAGAATGAACGAGTTCATCATGATCTATTAGATCTACAAATTTCCTGGTGAACAAAATACAGGACCAAAAATACCACACAATACCACCCTGGTATGGGGTGGTATCATGAACTATTGGATTTACAAATTTCCGGGTGAACAAAATACAGGACCAAAAATACCACACAATACCACCTGGTATGGGGTGGTATCTTGTGGTACACAATGTTAAAAGTCGTAAATGACAGTTAATATACTTCTACTATCATGTATTCAACCATCCTACAGTCTTGGTTTGTTCATACTACCATGGTACGCTTTTCATACTATAGGTATGCTCTTATTTCAATACCAGTCAAATACCATATGGTATAGACTAGTAAAAAATGACTCAATTTTTTTAGTTTCAAAAATATATCAAAGTGAATATCATTTTGAAGAGCACAATTAATCTGATCTAACTGTGCAATAAAACTTAAATTTTCTACTTAAAATGAGTGAGAAATCGTCCATTAAAGATTAGGTGGGAAATTAAAAGCTTTTCAGGAAAGAGAAAGGGTGCTGATGTGGCGGATTCTGATTGGATTATGCATAGTTATTGACCAAAAGATTATTGACTGGATTCGCTCCCCTTTGCTCAGGTTGCCGCTGGACACTCGGTGTGCAGCGCACCTTCCCTTTCCTTTTCACTTTCATGTTTGTAACTTGTAATTTCTTTAATTGAGGTCACCATTTTTCAAAAAAAAAAAAAAACTTTGCATCATCATCGCTCGTAGAAAATGCCAAAATGGAATATAAATTCATTCTTATAAGAACATAACCGGATCAACGACGCATAATAGAATCACTAAATAATCAGTTATAATAGTGGTTCGATTCTTTTGTTTTGATGGTTAGGGATATCGAACGATTTTAAACGCTTGGACATTAAACTATTTGAGCCACTCCGGTTTTACTAGTTCACTATTTTATCACCAAATAATTAAGAGAAACAATATTATAACTTAAACTAATTCCATTCAACTTGAATTACTAATTTTATTTCTTCTTCATTTTTTTTTCCAACCTCCTTGTCGGCTTTGTTTGGTCCATTGTGGATTGTAACCCTAATTACTAACTTGAATTTAATAAAAAAATCGTGAGTTTATTTTGTGAGATAGTCTGAATGATTTGTTAGAACTTTTGGTGATGGATGATATGAATTTTAATTGTTAATGGTAAGAGTAATAAATTCAGTCCTAAGTTAGTTATAGCGCATGAACGGTTAACCAACTGTTCTATTACAATTAATCGCTGAATCATAAATCACTAACTTTTTCGGTAAAACGTCCGGTCCGAATCTGAACGCATAGAATATAATACATTAAGATTTTCAAACAATAACATATTTTTCACTTTCACTATCATTAAAATGTTTATAAATTCTTGCTCTGAAAAACAGGTAAAAATGTAGATTAACTTGTATTATATTCTCCTGGTGGAAGCATACCCTGGTGGTGCGTACCATGGGGTTGAACATCTCCTTTCTTACATTCAGCAATAAAATTAAAGCTATGTGGCGTCCGACTGGGTCGATCGACATCATGGCGCTAGGGCAAGAGTGCTTCTTGGTGAAGCTCGACAATGATACAGACTATTTCCGAGCGCTAACGGAGGGACCCTGGAACATTTTCGATCACTATTGTATAGTCTTCCAATGGACGCCGGCGTTTCGCCTGTCCGATGACTTGCCGAAGACGATAGTGGTCTGGGTTCAACTACCAGCCTTCCCGATCCATTTTTACCATCAAGAGATTCTGTTCTCATTAGGGAACATGATAGGGCGAGCAATCAAACTGGATTTTCACACACAGCATCAACAACAAGTTAAATTTGCCCGGATGGCCGTGGAGCTTGACTTGTCTAAACCCCTGGTAACTCGCATTCGGCTGGATGGCAAATGGCAGTACATAGAGTATGAAAACCTGCCGAAGGTGTGTTTCGAGTGTGGAACAGTAGGGCACATGACAGCGACCTGCCCATCCCTGCGCGAGCCTACACTTTCGATTGTGGTCGGAGCCGTTGCCAAATCGCCGGAGAAAAGCCCAGAAGACTCGTCGGAGGACAAGGCTGGTTTTGGTCCATGGATGCAGGTCACACGACGGTCACGACGGGGAAATCGGGCCCAAGAGAAAGGAAATTTGGACGGCAATCAGGGAGATCTCATGGCTGGTGGAAAAATCGAGAAAGGAAGGTCTAGTTCCAAAAATGTGGAAAGTGTATCGGGAAATAAGGGGGGGGGGGTGAATAAGGATTCGCAGGGCCAACGGATAGAGAATCACAAACAAGGCAAGCTAGATAAAGGGAAAGTCACAGATGGATCGTCTCAAAAAGGGAAAGAGAAAATGGGAAAGGCCTCCGCGGAGACTTCGACAGGTGGCAGGGGTGTTCTGGGTCCTATTCCTGCTATGCAAAAGGCTTTGAGCTTGGGGTCCAACAGGTCTGAGTTGGATCAAGGAAAGAGACGGGAAGTGGGATCGGCTGGTGTGGACAAGAAAGATGGGCCTAGCCCCAACAAGGAAAAATCAGGTTCACAAAATGGGCTTGGTCCATCTAGTTCCGGCCCACCGCCAACCCAACTTGTCAAAGGCGCGAACAATACCTCGATCTAGATTGTCTCCATCCCGACTTACGAGAGCCAGCCAACAGGGGAGCAGAGGGATGATACTCCTTCGTCGGTGCTTCCGACAAAAAACCAGAAGTCTCACAAGAAGAAGAAATCTAAATCACCGCGGAAAAACCCAGTGACGATCACAGCCAAAGCTCTGCAAGTCTGGACTCCGGTGAAGGATAAAAAGAACAAAGCCAGAGCCCGGTTGGCCTCTCTTACACTTCAGGAGATAGAGGCTTGGACGGGAGCGGCGAAGGCGAGCACAGCAGAGAAAAGCCCTCTCCAAGCCCCGAAAACGGAGTGTAGTGAGAGAATGAGCCTAGCACTAGAGATCGTAGGCTCGACCTGACTGAGAGCCCCTACTTTCAGATTTCTTTGACTCTTTTCTTTCTCCTCTTCTCGTTTTTCTTTTTACCTTTTATGTCGATCGTTTCCCATTCCAACTCTAATTCTTTTGCTTCCATTTTGGCTTGGAATGTAGGAGGTGCTAGTAATGCTGCATTCTCTCGTGCCCTGAAATCGATCGTTCATCACCATAAGCCGGACTTTTTTATCCTTTTGGAGCCACAGATTAGCGGGGAGGTGGCGAACCGAATTTGTGGGAGAATGGGTTTTCCAAATGTTTTGCGAGTTGAAGCCGACGGAAGGAAAGGGGTAATTTGGCTCTCTTGGGACGCTCAAGCTTTTCGGGTGGAAGTGTTGCCGTCTTGCTTTCAACATCTCACGGTAAAAGTCTCGTCGGCCTCATCGCAGCCTTGGATTTTGAAGGCCGTGTATGCGAGTCCCAGACAAAATTTGCAGCGGTTCCTTTGGAACTCCATCGTTCGATCCAGAGAAGAAGTTTATCTACCCTGGCTTCTAACCGGAGACTTCAACACCATCAAGGATCCGTCGGAGCAAGCAGGACCGGCCACGCCTGCCATCTATCGGCGTTGCAAACGTTTCAGCCACAGGATTAGCCAAGTCGAGCTCATTGACTTGGGCTTTTCCGGTCCTCGTTTTACGTGGACCAGATGAGACACGCCCAACTCTTACAAGGCTAGTCGAATTGATCGGAGTCTCTGCAATGCAGCTTGGAATGCTGTTTTCCCCGGCTCGACTGTCAACCACCTCCCCCGGCTCCATTCTGACCATCACCCGATCCTTGCGTCTCTTGGAAACCAGGGAGTTCACACCGCTTCTCTTTCTCGTCCTTTTAAGTTTGAGGGTGCTTGGCTTACTCACGAGTCTTATAATACTTTCCGGTCTAATAGTTGGGACTCTCAGGTCCCTTTGCAGGAAGCTCTCCAAGATATGGCCAGCAAGCTGACTCAATGGAACCAGTCCACCTTTGAAAATATCTATCGTAGGAAGAGAAGATTAATGAGCCATATTCAAGGAATCCAAGCTAAAGTGGCTCATAGATTCTCGCCAGGTCTCTTCAAACTTCAGGCTAAACTGGAAGAGGAGCTTGATAAAGTCCTGGAGCAAGAAGAGATTCTCTGGTTTCAGCGATCTAGAGAGAAATGGGTCCAATTTGGAGAGCGCAACACGACCTACTTTCACCAACAAGCCAATATTCGTAGACGGAGGAACATGTTTGAGAGTCTCAAGGAAAACAATGGAGAGTGGATATCTGACCCTTATGAGCTTGCGAGTTTGGTTTTTGACTTCTTCTCTTTTCTGTATTTGCAGGATAGCCAGGAGTACACGGACGAGATGCCTAAGCAAGCCTTTCCTAGGATTGCTCAGGAGGACCTCATCCTCCTGCTTCGCCCTTTCACTGGAGAGGACATCCATAGAGCAGTGCATGACATGAAGCCCTTCCAGGCGCCGGGACCTGATGGCTTTCAAGCTGTTTTCTACCAACAATCCTGGCAAATCGTCAGGAAAGCCCTTATTGATATGGCTGTCACCTTTTTCTCCACAGGAATTCTGCCGGAAAAGATGGTAGAGTCGACGGTTGTGCTCATCCCCAAGGTGGAACACCCAGAGAGAGTCTCCCAGCTCCGACCGATCTCTCTTAACAACGTCTGCCTGAAAGCAATCACGAAGGCCATCACCAATCGCCTGAAGCCGATCATGAGGAAAATTGTTTCGCCACGGCAGAGCAGCTTCATTCCTAGTAGACAGACTACTGACAACATTATCGTTTTGCAGGAAGTCCTTCACTCTCTTAGAAAGAAGAAAGGCAAGAAAGGAGGCATTGTGCTCAAGATTGACCTAGAGAAAGCCTATGACAGGTTGAGATGGGATTTTCTCAGGGATACCTTGAAGGAAGTGGGCCTGCCCAGTTCGTGGATCAATTTCATCATGTTCTGTGTTGAGAGTAATAAAATGCGGCTGCTTTGGAACGGAGAACTCTCTGAGCCTATCACTCCCACCAGGGGAGTCCGCCAGGGAGACCCTCTTTCTCCCTATCTTTTCGTTTTGTGCATGGAAAGACTCTCTCACAGGATCGATCAAGCTATACAGGATAAGCTCTGGAAACCTCTGAGACTTTCTAGGGGGGGGGGGGGGCTTTGATTTCTCACATGTTTTTTTGCAGATGATCTTGTTCTTTTTGCAGAAGCAGAGGCGAATCAGGTGCGGATAATCAAGCGATGCTTGGTCGAATTTTGCCATAGCTCCGGACAGAGAGTCAACTATGAGAAGTCGACAATTTTTGTCTCGGCCAACATCAATAGGCGGAAAGCGAGAGGACTGTCGCATCAGGCAGGCATCTCACTCACGGTGGACCTCGGGCGCTATCTTGGGGTTATGACGATCCATGGCCGGGTCAGTAGATCCAGATACCAGGACCCGATGTTGCGGATCCAACGGAAGCTTGCTCCCTGGAAGACCAAACATCTTTCTCTCGCTGCTCGGATCGCTGTGGTCAAGTCTATTTCGGCCTCTATCCCGATTTACCCTATGCAAACAGAAATGCTCCCGATGAATGTTTGCAGGTCTCTAGATCGGATTAATAGGAGCTTCATCTGGGGGACACTGATGAGAAGAAGAAGCTCCACCTGGTTCCCTGGCAACGGTTGTTGGCTCCAAAACAGAATGGAGGTTTGGGCATTAGATCGACAAGAGAGGTTAACTTAGCCATGCTGGCTAAGGGCGGATGGCGGGTAATCAAAGAGAAAGAGACTCTTTGGACTCAGCTGGTTCGATCGAAATATGGGAAAGACCAAGCTCATCTCTACCTTTTGAGGCCTGTTCAGGGAAGTTCATTTACCTGGTCTAGCCTAACTAAGGCTGGGAATCTGCTTAGGAAGGGTTGCGCCTGGAATATTCATAGAGGTAATCGTACTAATTTCTAGTCTGTTGTCTGGTTAATGCAGGTACCTCTTTAGAAACTGGCAACGGGCCAGATACCGGAGGAGGATCGAGAGCTCCTGGTCGAGGATTTCGTGGACGAGGACGGGAATTGGAAGACGGAGAAATTCGACCACATACTCCCCTCGGACATAGTGAGGCAAATCACAGCATGGGTGGTGGACCCTCTCTCAACGGAAGAAGACACTCTGTTGTGGCAACCAACGTCAAACGGAAGATTCTCTACCAAGAGTGCCTACCAGTTGCTTCAAGACACTATCGACGACGATAACCATCAGCTTTGGAAGAGGATCTGGAGCCTTACTGTGCCAGAACGTGTGCGATGCTTCATTTGGTTGGTGGCGCAAGGGAGAATAAGGTCGAACGAGGAAAGAGCTAGGAGGCACCTCATGCACGACTCCTCCTGTTTCAGATGCCCCATTCTTACGGAGACGCCGTTGCACCTTTTTAGAGACTATCCCCCGGCAGCCTATCTTTGGAGCCTTACCTTTCATCCGGATAAGCTTCAGAGTTTCTTCAGCCACAACTGGAACAGCTGGGTGGAAACCAATATCAACTGCGAAGAGTCTTCCCTTTCAGGCCTCCCTTGGAATGTGTTTTTTAGCATTTCCCTTTGGAGCATGTGGAAGAACCGGAACGATGGTGCTTTTCATGGAGTGAGCAAGACCCTGTCTACCCCTTCTCTTTTGCAGGCTGTGAAGATTCGGGGCGAGCTGTGGTGGAAGGCTTGGAATGCGCCGAGCCCTCTGATGGGGCGGATGAATTCCCCACGTAATCGCATTGAAGCGCAGGTCGGATGGAAGCCACCTCCAGTTGGCTGGACGAAGCTTAATGTGGACGGGGCGGCGAGTGCTAATTCATGAATAGCAGGTGCAGGTGGAGTTTTCAGAGGCGTCGACGGCATCTGGATCAGTGGATTTGTTGCTGGTGTGGGCTCTTGTTCAGCCATCTGTTCCGAATTATGGGCCATGTTTATGGTCTTAAGTTGGCATGGAGACACAATTGCAGGACCCTTATCGTTGAAACCGACTCTCAGCTAGCGATTCAACTTGTGAAAGATAGGTCAGACCCCTTACACCCATATGTTGCGCTCTTAATGGCCATCAGACGTTTGATTGCTCAAGACTGGATTGTGAATCTATTTCATGTATACCGGGAAGGGAATAGAGTCACGGACTGGCTCTCGAAGCACAGTCTCGTCTATCCCTACGGTACACATGAATTAGAGACACCTCCGTATGAGCTTCTTCAGCTGCTTCAGGATGATGCTGAAGGCGTCACTTTTGCTAGACTCATTATCCCTTCTCCCGGTTCTCCTCACCTGTAACCCCTCCCCTTCCCTTCCTTTCTTTGGCGTGATGCCTCCCTGTACGCAAAAAAAAAAAAAAAGAACTTGTATTATATTCCCTTTCCTCCATTGTTCTCCTTTGGTGTTGCGAATTAGGTTTCCTCCATGATGGCGACTTCCGTGTCGTGCACAAAGTCAATGACGAAGGGGAGCTCTTGGAAACAACATTTTTTTATATTGCATCAAAGAATTGACAGTGCGTGATCATAGGGGTGGACAGTGGCTTGATCATAGGGGTGGACAGTGGCTTGATAAAAGAATTGGATGGAAGCCGAACCGAGGAACACCTAAACCACCAACCTAATTCAAACTAAAATATAATTTGGATCAGACCTTTCCTAATTGGAATATGATGTGGTTCGTGTTTAACGAAAAAATATGGAATTACTTTACCAGTTTACCCTACTTTGGATTTTGGGTTGTGGGATGTGTTCTTATATTTTCTGCTTGAAGTTGTGCCCTACCTTTGAATCACAAACAGTCTTCCCCTCCTCTCAATCATATCAATCCTACGATCATGGCTTCTCTTCTAGGATTCCTCTTCTTTTTTACTTCTTTATCCATCTCTCCTCTTTATATCCTTTGATCCTTCCTCAAATGTAACTCTCATTTATGTCATAGCTATTACTTGATTTAACTCAGCTATCTTATCGTTGATCTAAGAGAAATGACACTTTAGCTCGACTACAAGTGCCACTCTTCATCACCACACATCGTTGCTCCAAGCCTCTTGATTTGGTTCGACCATTCAATATATTGGGTTAGAACATCTTAAACCAAATATCAAATAGTGGCCTCAAGTCTTCTGAATCGCTGAGTTTGTTTGTTCATTTACAAAACTAAAATTTGGTTTGATTTGTTTGGGCTTACTAAACCGGATGCCCATCCCTAATTCGGTAGCACGATTGAAAAAAGTAACTTTGCATATTGACCAGTCCACTAGGTCAATACTCAGCTTGGGTTTATACCCAGATGAAGAGCATGGGTTTGAGAACGAGATCGAGTATAACCATATTCCTCATGTTTGCGCTGGTGCTTTGTTTTTTGGCATCAATATGAGACATCACAGAGAAAGGATGGCAAGATTTGGGTTCCTAAGATTCGAAAGGATGAGGATGTGGATTTTGATTTGGTTAAGACAGTTGTCCAAGGTGAGTAGGTAGGAGGCACTACAATTGTCGCTCAATGTGAGCAGTCACAACCATTAGAGTTCGGCAAGTTGAGAGAATGAAAGTTGTTATTCAAAGTGAGCACCCCTTGGTTCAGTCTGCATCACCTATTGATAAGGAACTCTTGGGGAATTCGGAAGTGAGATGGTGTCTCCTATTGATAAGTCAACCTTACACCAATGGGGGGAACTACTTTGAGCTTTATGAAGATTGTTGGGTTGTCAGCTTATTTGGATGGGATCCCTGGAATGCCTCCAGATCGTGTGCTAGTGGTAATTCGTCAGTTTCTGAGTCAGGGAGCTTGATCGGTTAAAAAACTCAACTAGCTCAACCTCATCTAGTCTTGAAGCATTATAATTACAAGGATCAAGGCCATGTTCACCTCTTTCTTCTAATCAAGTTGAAGCTTGTTTCTCTATTGGTACTCTTGTTGCCCAAGGGAAAATGAATAAGAAGGGAATGAGAGGTCATAGTCTAGGGTGTGGTAAGAAATGAAGTTATTGGCATGGGACATTAGAAGCTTTGCATACCGATAGCAAGTATATAGCTTTACTGTGAGAAATAAATATGCATATATTATATATAGTATCTATATTAGAGCCTAGAATTAGAGTTGGAGAGCGGGAAAATATGCTTAAGAAGAAATTCCTTATTGGCTTCATGGTCAGCAAAAATGGAGATTGTCTTGAGAAAGATTGGTTAATTTGGAAGTATAATATTAAGCTTAGGGTTTTGCACAAAACCAACCAGTTCATTCATGATTTCATGGGTGGAGATAGTCATACTTTCCAACTCTCGTGTATGCTTATAATATGGAGTCAAGCAGTCTTGGTTTGTATGATGAAGTTAGGGAAACTTGTGTTGTTAACTCTTCATAGATAGTTCTCAGAGATATTAATACCATTACATGTGGTTTTGAATTGTCCAAGTTTTTTTTAGTAGTATGGTTATTTTTTATTCATGGATTTGGGATATGGTGTTGGAGGAACATTAGGCTTATGGGTCATGATTTTTGTGTTTAAACAAGAAAAAATGTAACCCCATAGATGTTCTCTGGTATCCCATGTCTTCTAGGTGACATTCGCCAAAGTAACTTGGAATTCCTCCATATTTATTAAACCTGGTGGGTTATTTCCATTCTTATCTTCATACCCAAGCACCTGATTAAAGTCTCCACAGATCATCCAAGGCATGGTGAATTGACCATGAAGTCTTCTGAGTAGATCAAGGTTTGGTTTTTGTTTTCTCTTTCTTGCCAACCATAGATTCCTATGAGGCGCCACTTGTTTTCTTTTGAACCCTCAGTGATCCAGGCATCAATGTAGTTTTGATCAAGTGACTTTAACGTAACTTGGATGCCATCTTTCCAAAGAAGAATGAGTCCTACTGCCCTGTTATTTGAGCCCACACCTCGTCCATTTGTCCATCCTAACTCCTTCATTGTTTCCTCCCATTCATGTTCCTGTTTCTTTGTCTCCATTAAGAAGACAATGTTGGGATCTTGTTCTTTAAGCAACTCTACTACTTCTTAACTGTCATGGTATTCTGCAAACCACGACAGTTGTAGTTGATGATACTCATTGATCTGGGCAGCCTTATTTAGCAGGGTACGCCTCTCCGCCATCCTTAGAAGATTGATTAACAAGGTTTGAGTGTTGATTAGAGTTTGCAGGGGGTGGGAGATACACTCATCATCTTCTCCTCCTCATGATTCAGAGAGTCCTATAAGATGGAAAAGTTTTTCATCTTAGAATTTTTTCAGGACTCTTTGTTGCCATGGGGAATCGAATCATGTTCCTCCACTGTGCTATTTGCTTTATTATCATCCTCTGTCATACTTCTTTTCTGTGGAGTGAGTTGGTTATGGGTAATTACTATGGACAAAGTTCTCCTAGCTGTCTCACTTCGCTTCTAGGTTTTGTCTTTGGCGTGAGGTACACTTTGTTGACATGTACTTCCCATTGCAAAAGTTGTATTCTCATAGCGGAACTCGCTACCCGTGCCATAAGTTTCCCAATTCTTCAAATTCTCCATATAATCCTGATAGACCAATAATTATACATGTTTTTACTCCTATTCTTGAGTCGTTTGAGAGGTTGATTCTCGTGTTTTAAGCCGATTTCAAGCGAGGTTGTGCGTTTATGTCATATTTCAGGGCCCGGTGGTGGAATCGAGGCGAGGAAACGAGTTTTGGGTCGAAAGGAGCGAAGTTGGGTCGAAGTGTGCTCCAGGAGGAAAATACCCGGTCATGGGCTCAAATACCCGACCGGGTATTTATCGTTTTTGGCGTCTAAGAAACAGAAGGGGTCCCGGTCGGGGATTCTTGGGACAGACCGGGGATTTTCCCCTGACATTAAACGCGCGTTTCAATTATACCCGGTCGAGACCCAAAATACCCGACCGGGTATCGCGACAGGCAGCTTTTTAAGGGAAAAGAATGCTAAAAATCAAGGGTTCCGAGTTTTAGAGAGACAGAGCGATTCCTAGAGAGAGAAAGCGACGAACAAGAGTTCCCAAGTGCCATAGCTTGATCTTCATCACCATTGGAGCCCGGCTTGAGCTTGGAGAAGTGCCGATCGACGACCAAGAGCTGAAATCCATCCTTCACAGTATGGTTTCCGCACCTGAATCTGCTTTTGCTTCTTTCTCCATGGAGTAGTTCTCCCATTCATCTGGGTATGGAGAACCCTAGATTTGTATGTTAGGTCTGATTGTATGAACCCAAGTACAGATTTCATGAGTTGATTATATTCGATTGAGGCTTGAATGATTGAATGACTTGAATCCTGATCAAATTCCTGTTGTTTTTGCTTTATCCTAGAATGAGAATATCTTCCTAGGTTGATAGAGCACCCTTAATTGAAGGTGGCAAATTGGTGACTTTAGTCAAGGAGCCAATTCGCTATTCTGTACCGAATTCCATTCGGTAGTGGAGGTTTGGTTCGTTAGGGCGTCAATCTGTTTACTCTGGTGGAGGTTAGTCGCCCGCTGGAGACTCAGATTGAGAGGGTCTGGAGACCTTTAGTCGAGACTTCAGACTGTTTAAGAACCTTCCGCAGTATAACTTTCATGGAAACTGAACTTGGTGAATTGCAATCCGGCTTAACTGCAGTCTAGGGGGAACCATATCAGGGTGACCTCTCTCGACTTGAAAACAACCGTTTAACTTGCTTTGTTTGTTTGTTAATTTGGACTTGCACTAAAGTTTCATTGCTAGATAACAAGAATTCACCGAGTAGTCATCAAATCTAGGACCCGGGTTGACATTAAAACCCAAACCCGCTATACTACGCTTTAGGAAGTGGTTACACTTGGCCAATTTCTAGAGTAACAGTAGGAGTGAGTCAAGTTTTTGGCGCCGTTGCCGGGTTTGCTTGACTGTTACTTTAGCACTTTCGTTTTTGCATTGACTGTTTGTTCTTTCCCACTTGTGCCTTCACGGGTTTGCTTGCTTGATTGTGTGCAGGTAGTGCATGACCCGTAGCCAGTCGGGGGGTTTACTGCCATTGAATCCGGAGATTGAACGCACCTATCGCCAACTCAGGAGACAACAGCGAGCTAGACTGGCTACGGCGGAGCGCATAGACGGCCATTTGAGCAGCGAGTCCGAGGACGAGTACGTGATGGAAGGAGAACACAACCCACCCCCGGGGAACCCTCTTCAGGTTCCTCCGGTGAATCAGCTCTTGGGGAACAACCCCATACCCTAAGAAGATGGGGTTCATCATCACCCACCACCACCGGGTCCCACCTTGGAGTACTACTACACTCCACGGATTGCTGACATCCGCCCGGTCATCCTCTATCCGC